TCAGTATAGAGAAAAATAACATTCCCATCCTTCATGTAGACTTTCAATGTCAGTTGATGCATGGCTTATCCTTCACCTGTTTTTTAAAGGTGCCATGAGATAAGATAGCAGTTGGACTAATGACATTCCCCACTGTCTGTTGCATTTTTTTAGTCCTATTAAAAGATGTTTTCATTCACACATCAAACAGCATGCTCTTAAGTACAGGCTGGGCACCGCCACCCCTCCACTGTCCCAGGCCTTGCATGTTTTGTAGCAGAAGTACTGTTTCTTGCAGATAAACTGCTCCTTCTGCCAGGGACCACTGTACTGTTTACAAGTACAGTTTTCCATAGAAGGACAGACAGATGCCTCAGACTCACTGGCCCCACTAGTGCCTGACAGGTGTTTTATAGTGGGGGAGGTAGTCTTCCTTCTTGCACCAGATCAATCTATGATGGGCTGTGTCTATACTGGGCCACTTATTCCGGAAAATCAGCCGCTTTTCTGGAATAAGCTGAGAGCTGTCTACACTGGCCCTTGAATTTCTGGAAAAGCAACGACACTCTACTGTACAAAATCAGCCGCTATTCTGGAAAATCTATTCTGCTCCCGCTCAGGCATAAGTCCTTATTCCGGAACACTGTTCCGGAAAAGGGCCAGTGTAGACAGCCCAGTAGTCTTTTCCAGAAAAAAACCCCAATCGCAAAAATGGCGATCAGGGCTCTTTTCCGGAAAAGCAGCCTTCCAATGTAGATGCTCCTTTTCCGGAAAAACTGAACTGAATAGTATTCCGTTTTAAGCAGTTCCAGAAATTCATGCCAGTGTAGACACAGCCATGATGTATAAAGTCCTTTTGTAGGAAGCAAAGTTCAGTCCTGCCTCAAATAGGAGATGGCTTAAACTAGGAATGTAAAATCCCAGTTAATCAGTTAACAACTGAAGCAGGATTCAGGCCAGGGCAGTTCATGGGCCGTGCACCCAGGCCTGCTCCAGATGAGAGCAGCATCTGTACGCAGGAGGCCCTGGCAAAACTAGAGGAGCCCCCTACCTGTTAACTAGAACAAGTATTACCCATTTAGGGTGATGGCACTGCTTAACCTTTCACATCCCTATTTTAAACTAGGCAAAATGGAGAATCAAAGAGACTTTGTCTGTTTTCCTCTTCACCTATTAACTGCCTTACCTTTATCTGATAGTACTTCAGCATTCTTTCAAGACTCAAGGGGAAGCCATGTTCCCCTTATCTGCAAAAACAGAGTCCTATGGCACCTTGAGACTATTAGTCTTTAAGGTGTCACAGGACTCCTCATTGTTTCTGCATTCCGCAGTAGGCCCTAGGGTGGGCTTAGCTAGTGCTCAAGCATTTTCACTTTCCCAAACAGCTCAGAGATTTTAACACTTTATTTAATAAAAGTTAAACATACAAAACTGAAATCAACACACTTTGTATTCATAAAAATCATTTTCTCCCATTAATAGGAAGAACCTTTTTCTATGCATGGATTCTACACTATCAGTTGCAGAGTTTAGCTAGAGTTGTAACTGATGGACATTTCCACCAATCAGTGCATTATCAATTGCTGACATGACCTGATCTAATTAACAAATTACAAAATGAGCTACATTAACATAATATACAAGGGGAACATGGTCAGGATTAATGAACAAGAAATACACTTGAATTATTTAATGGAGGAAATAAACAAAGTACTCTTGTTCATTAATTCAGCCCTAGATTTTACAAAAATATCTACATGTGTACAGGGCTATACATTAATTTGTTTTAAACACTTTATGGATTCAGAGGTGGTACCAGTACTGTAAGTGGGACAAGTAACATAGGAAAGCAATCACGTACAAAAGGCATGAGCTTTTACATGTGGTTACCTGGAAAAAAAACAAACAAACAAAAAACCTGAAAGGGCTCACTGACAGCATAGGGCTGAAACTGCATTGAACACTAGGGCTACAGCCAGGATTATAGCAAGGCAGAAACTTCAGACTAGCCTTTGCTCATTTACAACCAACTAAATAGGATCCAGGCATTCTTATTTAATGTGCTTCGGTTCTGTATAAATGGATGGAAAAAACCCACACAGGTTACTCAAGTTGGAGATTTACTGTACAGTTGTCATGTCCCATAACCAGACCATGGAACTCAGCTTTTGAGATCATAGGATATAAATTTACCTAATACTTAAATCTTCACTTTTAAAGTGCAGTTTTACTCTGAACTTTGACTCTAAAAGTGTCATCTTATGGTTTCCTGGTTCTGTCTCAGTGATGTCCAGTTTAAATTTGCTCAGTATACATGTAAAGAGAGTCTTCCCCTTAATTTCCAGCCCTGTAAATTCAGTATGGAATTTCAAAGCAAAGTTGAATTGTTTCTAGCACAGGAATCATACTATTCATATCTATTCTGTGCACCTAATTCTGCCATCAGTTACAGCTGTACAAGCCTACTGTCTTCATTCAGTGAAACTGCAAGGGAGTAACTTAAGAATTTTATTAATTCCATTTTATATACAAACTATGATGGAATCCAGCTAACTTTCCCAGAGCTGTACTGGCTCTGTAGTGCTAGTGTAGTTTGTCACTAAAGCAAAGAGATAGTACTGTGAATACAGAGGGAATGAAAAGCTTTTAAAGGTGCCATTTTTACAGGGTCATTTTTCTGACCCTATCTTGCTAAAAATATCAAAGGAAGATTCTGGAGACTAGCATTTCAGGTAACTGCTGTTTCAGTATAACTGCCAACAGCAGCTCATGAAAACATTCGTCTGCTGAATTTTGCTTTAAGATGACTATAAAAAGTTTAGTAAAGATGAAGGGAGTCAAATGAATAGCTGTAGATTTCTTTAAGGCTCACATCAGCGGAAGCCAAGTAATGGTGACAAAATGAACTATTCACTACATGCCAACAAATAATTTACTTTTAGAAAAATATAATGATAAAAAGATAAGTGTAAAGCCCTGCAGAGATGACGTTTAGCTCCCTCCCCTCCATTACTGAGGCATCAAATGCCTGACGTTATATTTAGAGGTATCTTGATATTGTGTCATGGGTTTGTCTGCAATTCCACATGTTCCCACTCCGACTTTGCCAGTTACACTCTCAGGAGAAGCAAAAATACTCCTCTTTACCTGAGAAGGAAAACAAAGACACCATTCCTGATTAGTCAGTTCAAGCCACGTTCTTAACTGAGAATACAAGCATAGATTAATTCTGCAAACAACCCTCAACACTCCTGCTTTATAGACCTGCAGATTAACATACTTACTAAGGACACAGGAGGAGTCGGTGACAAAGGCAATGTTAGAACAAATTGCTGTTCTCTGACCATTCCTCTCAGTGAGCAATTATAGCCAATGCTCATGAATAAAAGCCTCATTCCTTACCATAAGACTGTGTGGTAAGTGCTGCAAAGGAACTGAAGTTTTAACACTCGCCCTGCAGACCTACATTGCTCCTGAGAGTATGGCAGGAAACCAGTGTGCAGCAATACAGCAACACTTCAGTCTCCCCCCTGCCCTCTCTGAAATACGGCTACTCAGCCAGGCACCTAGCGTGTGTAAATTTGTGAAATGGCTGCCAAGGTGGTCACACACAAGACATTCAGGCTCTCAGCTTTAGTGAACCCCAGTCTAGGCTGCCACAACACCAAGGCCCCAATGCTTCAGCCTAGGTAAACGTAAGCTCAGTTTCAGGAAGGCACATATCTCAGAACACCAAACCTACTTTTCACATTGAGGCTTGATTACTCAGCCCATTCACGGCATCAAGCTACCTGTTTATACTTACTCAGCTTTGCAGCTGGGTTGCCTCAGATTGTGAAGCTGAGGGATCTGCTCCCAAAGCATAGTCAGGGTATATTTTCCCCCATAACTACTAGGCTGGACTATTCCTTTTGCCAACTATTCACACACTAACAGTCCATACACACCTGGCCTTTTTTGTTTTTAGAATAGGCTCTGTTGTTGAACTGTTGCCACTTGACTTTCTGGTCCTCTCGCTCCTGTTCAAGTTCTTTGATTCTCTGGGCTTTTTTCAAAGCTTTCTTCTTTTTATATTCTCGTTGCTGGGCAATCATCTCTTTTCTGTAGGAAGAAAGGGTAGCCAATGATTAAGCCCTTGCCTCCATTTCCTCTTCATAAAACACTCTAAGGTACATTAAGTGTCAAGTAAGAAACTAAATATAACTATAAGCCATCAGGTGTGTAAAACAGGACTCTCAAATGAGTGATTATACAACCAAGCCAGGACTACGCATGCTAAAACACCACCACCAAGCTGTACTCCACAGCTGCAAGAGCAAAGCTGTGAAGTTATGTATTACACATGGGTACCATGGTGTCATAAGAGCCTCTTAAGCCTAGTTTCTTCTGCTGCCTGTACAGTACAAATGCTGTGTCTGATTCTAGAAAGAACAGTCATTTCTTCTGTAAAGCAGTCTATCAAGTGAGAATATCATTACAGCCTGGTAATTTTTATTGCTCCTGACTCTCATGATAAATATGTCTCAAGCAGGCCATTTCAAATAAAACTGGGGTTCTGAAACTGTGGGTCAGGACCCCAAGATGAGTTGCGACCCTGCTTTAACTAGGGTCACCGAGCTAATTTGCTGGGACCAGGGCCAAACCCCAGTCTAAGCACTTCCGCCCTGGGCAGAGTTTCAGGGTTCCTGTTTGGGGCTGAAGCTTTGGCTTTGCCTACCCTCCCAGAGTGGTGGGAGTCAGGCAGCTCAGGCCTCCACCCCCAGTCCTGTAGTAATTTATGTGGTCAAAAGGGGGTTGTGCTCATGCTGCAATGAAATTTGAGAACTCTTGAAACAAAACAACCCTCAAAGCTGGCACCCTGGTGATCTACCTGAGAAGAATGCCCTTGATCCAGGATTCCTACACTAAACAGGTGACAATCAGCAACTGTAGTGGGGATCAGGCACAGGGGAAAGGAGAAATGGTCTTAAGTAGATCATCCCCCTCGGGGAATCTGCAAAGAACTTGACAATACCCACATTTGTATTGGCTTTTCCGCAGAAGCTTTCTTTAATGCTGTGGAATCCTTTTTAGCGTGGGAGCAGTGCTGCAATAACAGCAGACTGAGGAGAGCATAACAGTGTGGCTCTAACAAAGAGGAACCAGGGAAAGGGACATGAGTTCTGGGGAGATAAGGCAGAAGCACAGGTTCCCTTAACAATGCGGATTACAGAGAATCTGTATGTGACAGAGACCAGATGTCAAATTTCTTCCAAAAGGGAGGGATTAAGCACCACCACAACCTCCCTGCCAATCCCTTTTTCAAAGATCATGTTGATGTCCCCAGTATGGTGATGATGATGTTCGTCCATCGTGTTCGAAGAGGACCTTGACATCTAACGAGTTGTGGGCTGTCCACAGTGTGTCCGCAGATGGCTGATAAGGCCAATGTGGGCACGAAATGTTCTGCCACATGTCGGGCAGACATGTGCAGGCACCACTGTTGCCGCGTTTGCAACTCTGGCTTTACCAGTATGGTAAGGCAAAGTCAGTACCCATGTTATGAGTTTCTCCTACAGCTTATCACAGGTTGGAAGAAGGACATAAGAGTATTGCTCCAGTACTTGGGTGTCCAAATAAACTGATTCCTCAAATATAGTTCTTCTATATGTTAGCTTCTTATCAGAAAGCTGTGAGTCAGGAACCTCTTGGTGCTAGCTGGCATGCAGCACAGAACACCTAGAATTTTACAGAGGTCTCCTGGGACAGATATATGCACAATAATGCACGCCACCTTACAGTGAAAAGTCTCTGTCAAGAGACCCTTGGCTTCCACAAACACCTCAAAACATAAGTACAGATAGTATTTGAAGTGTATCTGTGCTGAGAATTTTAATTTTTCTCTCCTATATATATATATATATATATATATATATATATATATATATATATATATATATATATATATATATATATATATATATATATATATATATATA